TGTACCAAACAAACATCCAAACAAACAAACATTCTCATTTACACATATAGATATTCCATAGAAAGATGTATTTTTATTCTAATTGCATTTCCGGATAAGCTAGTATTTATCGAGGAGAACTAATAAAACCAGGGCTGTGGAGTCGGAGTCGGAGTAGGAGTCGGAGCCGTGGAGTTTTGGTGTTTTGGCCGGAGTCGGAGTCGTCAAAAAATCCGCCGACTCCGACTCCCTTTTTACTTACCAACTTGTTATGTATATGAAACGGAGTCGGAGTCGTAGTCGGATGGTAAGAAAAAGTCGGAGTCGGTAAATTTTTACGCGACTCCACAGCCCTGGATAAAACGAATTCCAAGATTAGATAGAAGTTTAAAAAAAACAATTGCACAAATATAAGAGATTTTATAACCAAACAACGTGTAAAATAAATTATGTATAAAAGGAAAAGTTTTAATTTTTCCCTTCTAATAGTTGATGGATGGAGGATTTCCAAGTATCGTTGGGAGTATTGGGTTTCTGACGAATAGTGACTGGAGAATTATACAACAGCAATGAAGGTAGTTAGACATATCAATTTCCTCCTTGCAAACATCATACGAAAGATCCACTTCCACCACATGCGCTTAGAAATAGGAATGAATCATCATGGTAATTAGTTGCAGATGTCACGTCATTTTGACGTCATGTAATTAACCTAAAGGTAGTGTTTATAGCTGCCATGTTTGAACTGTGAAAGTCATCTTATAGATGTGGAAGACATTTTAAAATTTTACGAAGGTAAAAAAGGTAAAGATTATTATAAACATTTTATACAACAAATAATTGAAATTTATCAATAAAAATAATCTCTGCCGTTTCTTTTTCCAAAAATAATTCCATTTTTATTTCTTTGTACGAGAAAGTCATGTTTTCATGGGACCAGCCATAATGAATTAACACATAGCTCAACAGCGAACTAGCTGGCACTTCCAGCTTACTAGTTCCATCAAAAATGACGTCACATAACAAAAGTAAATGCCGTAAAGCGCGGCACTCGGACGAAAGTATACAGGTTGAGCGTGCTGTAGTAACATTAACTCAGACGTAAACGCCCCTTAATTAATTATCAAATTAGCGCCGAACGCCATCTTGGTTATCAAGTGAGTGTTCTACTGTATATTTACAGAAATAATATAAATTAATTAATTGCAAATGTCTATACTTTATCTAATCTTAAATTTCTGTTTAGTGATGTTGATTTGGTCCCTGGAAGCCGTCACGTATATATGTTTACGACAGACAAAGATCTTGGAAATTTTAAATCTGTTTCAATAAGTTGGAAACCTCATCTTGGCGACTTTATCAATCCTTTTAATTGGCTTAAGACTAAGAAAATTAATATCAAATATGTTCAATTAGTTCCTATGAACGTTATCCAGAAAGAGTGAGTTATTTTGTTTATAAAAAATAATAATAATATTCGTATTAATGATTCATAACAAGACCATANTGTTAAAAAAGTATATGGAAAAATAAAAATCAAGTTTAAGTCATTTTATTCGACTTTACGTCTGTCCGCCACAAATATTGAAGTCGTAATATCACTAGATAAACGTTTAAAGCACATAAAATCATATTAAAATATATACAAGTATGTACTGTATTTACAGTACACGCATTCGTAAATTTAGATTACTTTTTTTGTACTATATTAAAAACTAAAATTTATTTGTTTGTAAGCTTAAAATAGATTTTTATTAACCATATATTATTAAAAATGCATTAATAAATAAAATACAGAACCGGAAATGGAAATTTACGGTTTAGCCTAGTGATAAGTAGATTCGGAGACAAGTAAATTCGACTTACGTCGTTTTTCGACTTACGTCGTTCTCCTGGAACCAATTACCGACGTAAGGCGAGGTATACCTGTATTTCTTTACTACTTTTTAACGGGTATGTACTTGATGTTTACTTATTATTATTATTATATTTTGAAATATTTGAAAAGTATCGTTATTAATACAGATTTTACAGTGGTTATTAAGCTACTGTAATTTGTTAATCTTAAGATTTGATATTTTATAATTTTAGCAAAAAAAATAAATTTTATTTCTACTTTTAAAGGTTATTCATGGACAGGACGAATGCAAAATTGAAAGTGATATTAATGCCGGACTTGCTAAATTGTAAATAATATAGAATATATTTTTGTATATTAATTAATTAGATGGATTTTTTTATAAAACACAATTTGAATAAGGCATATAATTGTGAAAATTATTTAAAGGTTGCCGTTTTTCTATTGTAAACATATCAAAAATTCGACTGTAGTAAGTTAATACAGGATAATGGCGCAAATATGTATTATTGTAACAAGCATTACAGAAGGTCTCTCGTCGCAGTTACTTTTCGTTTTGTCCATAAAAATGACATTTATGCTTATATCATAATACGGCAGAGAAATAAAATAATTAAATTATTCACTTATTCTACGAAGAAATTATGCGTCAATAATTAACGCGTAAATCTGTGCTCCAACCCTACAACTCCCAGATAATTGCCTACATATTACATAAGTACTTACAATTTACAATTAAATAGCTACTAAACATCACTTTAGACACTGTCGAATAAAAGTATTTTCATCAATCAACCGGTAAATTGTTTTACATAGTCTGGTATAAAGATTTAAAAGAATTGAAGTAAATTATTACATCTATCAAACGAGTTTCATTAAAGTCGCAACTCAATTCATTTTCATTACTTAAAACGTAAAAATCATTTTCTGTAAACGTCAAATTTATTTATTCGTAATCTAATTAAAACAGTAAATACTGTAATTTTAATTTCATAAAATTGATTTGGATATGAAATATAATTAAGATTATTTTTCAAAAATATAACAAGACACTTAAATAATGAATTTTAAAAGGATTTTCTTGGCCTTTGGCATTCGATGATTCAAATTCGCGCCATTCTGTATCAGTGACGTAATAAAATTCGGATTTAACAAAAATTTCGGAATTAGACAGCTCCGTATTTCCAATCTTGACAAATATAATAACGGATGACTGCTTAGGTATAAAAATTGGATTTTCCAATTCAATGTTTCCAGTTTGAGAACACTTTGTAGTGTCATCCATTAAGTTTACTTCTCTCCCTGAAAAAATGACATCCGTTACAACAGGAATCCGATTTGGCATTTCGTGAGTTATTGGAAGGACAAAATTAATCAGAAAACTGTCTTCCTCTGCATAAAATTCGCATTGAAATGTTTGCGATTTAGTAAATTTAATTCGTTTTTCTGCGTGAACGAAGCGTTTATTGACATAATGAATCAGCGAATCGGGATTCGTATTCCTCCGAGGGTTTGGATTTTTGCAAATCGTTGGAGGAAGCTCATATTCTGGGGGGAAAAAACTTGAACGGATTGCCGTCATTTCCTCTTCTGTCAAAATATTTTTTTTAAATACAGAACTTTCTAATATATTTATATCCACGCTCAGGAAACGTATCATGCGTAGAAAAGGTTCCATACGAGCACGAATTCGCTGTAATCTGGTGACTTCTGTAGATTTTGCGGAACTATTGCGACTCTGTTCTTCTAATTCCCTTCTTTCTACCCATCTTAATAAAGCAAAGAATAGCTTTTCTTCTCGAAGAATTGCATATATTGGCCGTGAAACGAATCGTAAAACTGTTATTTCTTTGCAAAGAAGAAAACTTTCTGAATCGAGTATTTCGTCACAAAAGACGTCAAAATGTTGCCAGCATCGAAATTGGATGATTTCATCGCCGTTTTCGCATGCAAATTCGTAGATAAAACATACATTTTGATTGTTGATTTGTTGTAAAATGTAATTTCTGCAGATTGGCAGGATATCTTCTATTTTGAAATCTTTCCCAAGTTTATATATTTCCAGACTAGTTCCCGTAGATGTCAAATGAAGCTGATGTGTTTTCAAATAGCTGTAAAAATTGCAAACATTAATACTGTATTTGCATTGTTTTTTATTTACATTGCAGAACTTACTTTATAAACTCTTGAAAAGAGAGCATCGTGCATTGTAAGTGTAACGGTGACGAGGACAAAGAGTAAGAAGCTATTAATTCGTTCAAATGCTCACAGCGTGTCTCCAAGAATGATTTACTTACTGAGACTCTATAATCTATAAACTGGATTTTAACAAACTCTTCGGAAACATTTTCCATAGTTAAATATAACAATCGCAGAAGCGATTAATAATGTAAAATAACAATATTGGTTTAACAATTTAATAATTCATTAATTAATTAAACCGTTGTAAAAATTAGAACTTTGTAAATTAATTTTACTAAAAATTAAAAGAAGTGTTCGTAAAGAAAACAAATATAGTTTAAAGTTTAGTAAAAAGAAAATATTATTTATGTAAATTTTTGTGTAAGTAATATACATACTGTATGAAAAAATTGTGTTTTATATATATATATACAGTAGATCCCCCTATAAGACGGTAGATACGTTCCGTTTTTTATGAATCAATTTTGTAGGAATCACAGCCAATCACAGCCCGACACTTGTGAAGTTTACGGACTACGGCTGTTTGAAAGGTTTTCTTCCATAAAATTAATCGATTCTAGACTAATCCGACTCAATATTTCCAAAACACATATATTTTTTTTGGAAATAATCCGTATAAACTACGCTATAAACAAAAAATTGTAGGATTACTTACCGAGTGT